GAGCAGATGTCAGAAATTATTCATCATCTACTCATTAACGTATTACCTTAATCTTTAAATGTGAGTTTCTTTAGCACTCTGAAGAAAACACAGAAGTTAATGAGAAAGTGCATTTGACATCATAAAATTACAGAGAGTACTTTTTTCCCTCCAGGAAATTGCACACTATTTGAAAAGATGTCCACAATAAAGAACACTACACTGCTCACATAAATAGCAGAAGACAAACATTTTAATTAACAGGAAGAGTTATTTTTCTGAACACGACCAGTAACTTTGCCCACCAACCCCTCCCCCAAACCTGCTGAAATTTGCTGAAAACAAAGAGCTGAGGTGAAGTGTTGGGGTGGGGGGGACAGCAGTTCAGGAAAGAGAGAGTGAAACCCTGCCTGATAAATACTAGGCAGCACCCACAGAAGCAATAAATAAATGAATAAATAAATGAAAAAATAAATGAAAAAAATTGTCCTTGGAAGTGCAAGCACTTCTGCAGAACAATTAGCTTAATTAACCAGACAGCATGAATATTCATAAGGCTGTTAATGTCTCCTACATCCAAGCAGATAAATGTGATGTAATGACTTCCTAGTCAAGCATATCTAAAATTCTCATGAAAGCAGCACCTACACATCGGTTCTTTGCCTCAAATATCCTAGAAATTAACAGTCCCTTGGCAATATTTTATTCTCCCCAAATTAATTGGAAAGCATAAAATTTATTTATGCAAACTCTATAGGAATATATGATTCAGAGGCATCAGTGTGTGGATTAAGTCTTGTTTTACAACAACTGGATTGCTTTTTTATTTTTATGTTCTCTCAGGCTTTTCTCACTATCCCCCTATTCCTTTCTAATCAGACTCTGTCTGTATAGTTCCTTAGCACCAGTTCCCATAGCAACAAACACAATTCCTAATGGCCAGCAGTTCAAATACAGGCTTTCCCACATCTGATACATTTGGGTCTAAGGATAATTCAGCAGCTTAGTCTGTTGGCTCAGTGGAGTAATTTACTATACACTCCCCCTCTGGGTGTCTCTCTCCAGGAGGCAAATGGCTTCAAAGGCAGACTCTGTCTCCTCTTGGGCAGCTTGGAAACTTCCTGCCTAGCTCTTGTTCCCATTCTTCATCAAAAGCCCTGACTAGGCATAGCATCCCCGTATTAAACAACCCACACATGACTTTCCCTTCCTATTAGACAGAATTAGCAAGATGCAACTCCTTTCCAACTACCAGAGTTTGGCAGCTTGCTGTATCTTCAAAACAAAAAAGATGACAATGCCATTCCTGAAAATAGCCACTGAATAACAGGATATTTTCAAATTATAAATATGCTTTGAAATTAAGGGGAAAAAACCTCAATGTCTCAACATTATGCATTTGTAAAAATTGGTTAACTATTACAGGCATAAGCAATAATGACCAATTTTTATAACAAGCTCCTGTTCGTGTCAAATGCACACTTCTCAGAAAATGCCCTTTCCATTTCTGAGCTATGGTGGTTAGTGAATGACCTCAGAGATCCAAGTGCTAATGAGAAGAATAGCAGCCTGGGCACATATACTGCCAGGAAGCTTCCACCAGCTACAGGCAGAGCTACTAAAATGACACTGAAGGGTCAAAAATAAAATGGCACAAAACAATGGTCCAAATTGCATCTTTCTCCCCCACCTCTTTCAGTCAAGGCTGTTTTATTATCTTCTTTGAGACCATTATTAGTTTTCTGTAAGTGCCTTAAATTGTCAGGATGTAGTCTAATCTCCCTCCCCATTTAAATTATTGGCTTTGTAAAAGACTTTATACTTTACAAAGGCATTTGGATCTGTTCTGTTTTTCCTAAATGATATTTGTACAGGTATCTACTGAATAATGTATATATTTGCAAAATCAAAAATATGCTTTATAATAATAAAACTCTAAAGCTAATCCCTTATGGAACCACTCACATGTTAAACATGTTAGTAGAACTACCTCTGTAATAGCAATTCTAAATGTGTGGTATGGATATGGTTATTAAATAGAACATTATTTTTTTAAACATACACATTTGTTGTTTTCATAAGAAAAAATATATTTTCCTATTTTTGTCTTAGCAAATTGTACATAATAGTTTTTATTGGTTAGTTTTATGTCTACTTGACATAACCCAGAAACATTTGAGAGAGGGAATATCAATTGAGAAAGTGACCAGCCAGGTTGGGCTATAGGGATTTTCTTGATTGATGGTTGATGTGAGACAGCCCAGGGCACTATGTGTAGTGTCACCACCCACCGGACAGGTAATCTAGATGCTATAACAAAGCAAATTGAACAAGCCATGAAGAGCAAGCTGCTTTGCAGCATTCTTCCATGGCCTCTGTTTCATTTCTTGCCTCCAGGTTCCTGCCTCAAGATCCTGTCCTGACTTCCCTTCATACTAGACTACAAGCTGTAAGCTGAAAGAGATCGTTTCCTCCCCAGGTTGCTTTTGATCATGGTGTTTTAGCACAGCAATGGAAACTCTAACTTTTTTTTTTAATTTTTTTTTTATTTTATTAGTTCTAGTTAGGGAACAAGCTTATTTCAAGTCCCTTCTCCCTCTCCCTCCCCTCACCCCCAAAC